TCCCTTTACACTTCACTTGAACTAGTAACACGTTATCGCTAATTGATTGTTTTAAGTTATGTAAATATAGTGTAATACCTAGAGCAACCACCACAAAATTTACACAAAGAGATAAACTGAAAAAAATTATACAAAGAGATATACTCAAAAACACTGCAGACAAATCAAAATGGAATTCTAAAATAATATTCAAGAAATCAATAGAAAAACAAGAAAAATTAGAAAAGCTAAAAATAGAAGCAACAAACAGAAAACAAAATATGGTTTGGAAGACTTAAGTCTCAACAGATTACGAATTACCTTATAAACAAATAGTCTACTTTATTTCTAAAAGGCAAAACTCAGAAACAACTAAAATGCCCAATAAGTGAATGGCTAGACAAATTGTCGTAAATCCACACAGGGAATCCTACTCAGTCATAAAAAGAAATGAACCATTGATACACAAAATAGTTTGACTGGGTATCAAGGGCCTTATGATGAAAGAAGAGGCTGATCTCAAAACACTTATACTATATGATTCCATTTACATAACATTCTGGAAATGACAAAATTATAGAGGTAGAAAACAGATTAGTGGCCAGTGATTAGGAGCGGTCAGAGGAATGGGAATGGATGTGAGTACAAAGAGGTAACACAAGTGCTATGTTTGTGGTGATGGAATAGTTCTTTGTGTTGATCATAGTGGTAATTACATGAATCTGCATGTGATAAAATGGCATAGAGCTATAAGTACACTCATTGCATCAATGTCAATTTTCTGGTTTTGATGTACTACAGTGATGTAAGATGTAATTCACTGGGAAAAACTGAGTGAAGGGTACGAATGACTTTTCTTTTCGCAGAAGTTCATAATAATTAAAGATTATAATTATAAAGTAATGTAAGTATAATTGTAAATAGAAGTATATTTATAATTATAATTATCATTTATAAGTATATAATCTTTATAATTATTTTTAAATAATTGTAGATTTTAAATAATTGTAGATTTATTTATCTAAAAATAGAGTTAAAAAAGCCTCATAAAAGATCAGGCATGGTGGCTCATGCCTGTAATTCCCAGCACTTTGAGAGGCCAAGATGGGTGAATTGTTTGAGTTCAGGAGTTTGAGACCAGTGTGGGCAACATGGCAAAATTCTGCCCTAGAAAAACAACACGCACACAAAATTAGCTGGATGTGTTGGCGCGTACCTGTAGTTTAAGCTACTCGAAATGCTGACGTGGATCACCTGAGCCTGGCACTTCAAGGTTGCAGTGAGCCATGATGGTGCTGCTGCATTCCAGCCTGAGTAATGGAGCAAGATCAAAAAAAAAAATCACATAAACTATACATATGTGTATGTGTGTGTACAAAGTCTAGAAAAGCAATGATAGGCTCTACAAAAAGTTAGCAGAGTTATGAATATATCTGTATTACTTGAATATTTTTTAAAAGAATGCCTTTGTGAACTTCTCATATAAAAAAAGTAATGTAAAATCATTGTAAAAAATTCAGATATACATAGAAACATAAACAAGATGAAAATCGCCTGTTCTACGATGCCACAGATAATTTCATTAACTCACCTAACAAATATTTACTGAGTACATTCTACAGAGCTATGATCTATCACGATTTTAGTGTGCATTTCAGAACTTTCCTGTACCTCCAGAGTTCTATACAAATTGTAATCATTCATTGATATGTATTGTTACAAACGTAATATGTACAGCTGGCCTTCTGGATCCACAGGTTCCAAAACTATGGATTCAATCAACCTTGAGTCGAAAGTATTAGGGAAAAAAACCAAAGATAATAAGACAACAATAAAAAATAATGGAAGTAAAAGCAGTACAGTATACCAACTATTTACATAGCATTTCCATTGTATTAGATATTATAAGTAATTGAGAGATGATTTAAAGTATATGAAAGGATGTGTATAGGTTATATGCAAATACTATGCTATTTTATATGAGGGACTTGAGCATCCTCAGATTTTGTTATTTATTGGAGGTCCTAGAACCAATCCCCTACCAATACCAAAGGACAACTGTTATATAATAAGCTCTTATTACTTAACATTCATTATTCATTCATTTAGCATATATTTATTGAGCACCTATATTAGCCAATACCATGCTAGGTTCTGAGAATGGAAAGATGAATAAATTGTTTCCTAACAAAATTTACTGATATGGTTTGTCTTCGTGTCCCCACCCAAATCTCATCTCAAATTATAATCCCCACGTGTTGAGGGAGGGAGTTGGTGGGAGGTGATTGGATCATGGAGGTGGTTTCCTCCATGCTGTTCTCATGATAGTGAGGAGCTCTCATGAGATCTGATGGTTTAAAAGTGGCAGTTTCCCCTGCGTGCGTGCTCTCTCTCTCTCTCTCTCCTGCTGCCATGTAAGACATGCCTTGCTTCCCCTTCACCTTCTTCCATGATTGTAAGTTTCCTGAGGCCTCCCTAGCCCTGTGGAACTGTGAGTCAATTACACCTCTTTTATTTAGAAATTACCCAGTCTCAGGTAGCATCTTTATAGCAGTGTGAAAACTAACATGCTTATAATATAGTGGGAGAGAATGTCACTAAAGAAATAATATTTCCAAGAAGTATACAACTATAGATTGTCAAGTTCAGACAACTGTAAACAATGTTCTGAATATTCATCTGTGAAAGGAAAGGGTGATGGCTATGATGGCAAGATACCGTGGCATGTTTATTATTGATGGGAATGAGCCAGTAGAAAGAGGTTAAAAATACAAGAGCAAGAGAAGGGAATCCTGTATTTACAGAAAGCTTCCTTAGAATAAAAAAGCCAGAGACCAAGTGAAAGGGTTGGCTTCAAATAGAAGGGAACTGCCTCAACTGAAATAAGTAAAAGTGAGGATGACTGAAAATATAGCTTAGTTTGTAGATTTAGAGGTTTGAAGAATTGCCAAAATAAGGGACAATGTCATCTGCCTAGAGCAAAGGTATATGTTGCAAGTTCTGAGGTTTGAAGAGAATGGAGTTTTTAAGCAGTAGTTTGGGGAAAACATGCTGAATAGAGAAGGGCAATAACTGGGCATGCTTCATTAAGAACCTGTATTCTGTCACGTAGGGCAGATTCTAAATATTTTCAGCTCTCTTATTGCAGGCAAGATAAAGGCAAATGAGTAGGTATTAGAAGAGAGAGAGACAAACTTCTAGAGGGAACCAAATTTTTAAAGGGGATTGTCTTCCAACTGGGAAGAGAGGGAAAGCTTTATGAGGGGAGTAGATCTGAGCTGGGCAAGAGAACCCACTTGCTAGAGAAAGAAAATGGCCAAAGAGAGAAAAGGGGAGAAAAAAGTCTGGGGGAGACAGAAATAAAAGCAGAGTAGAGGTGGATTTCTGGCCTAGGTGCAGGAATTTCCTTTTGTCTTCCAAAGCAAATGTGGTCTTAGTAATATTAACAGTTTATCATCTGATGTTGTGAAATTGTTTCTATATATTTTTTAGACTCTTAGACCTGATAATCTACGGAGGAATTCCCAGGCATCTTTAGCTGCTACAGAGATGACTGAATGAAGGACAAGTATATTATCCTCCACACATTAAAAGAGAGGCTCCAGCGAGCAACAGAAGGCAAAAGTTCTTTTTTTTTTTTTTGAAACAGAGTCTTGCTCTCTCACCCAGGATGGAGTGCAGTGGCATGATCTTGGCTCACTGCAACCTCCACCTCCCAGGCATCTTTAGCTGCTACAGAGATGGCTGAATGAAGGACAAGTATATTATCCTCCACATATTAGAAGAGAGGCTCCAGGGAGCAACAGAAGGCAAAAGTTCTTTTTTTTTTTGAAACAAAGTCTCGCTCTCTCACCCAGGATGGAGTGCAGCGGCATGATCTTGGCTCACTGCAACCTCTACCTCCCAGGTTCAAGCGATTCTCATGCCTCAGCCTCCCGAGTAGCTAGGGTTACAGAACATGCCACCACACCCAGCTAATTTTTGTATTTTTAGTAGAGATGGGGTTTCACCATGTTGGCCAGGCTGGTCTTGAACTCCTGACCTCTAGTGATCTGCCTGCCTTGGCCTCCCAAAGTGCTGGGATTACAGGCATGAGCCACTGTGCCCGGCCAACATTTATCATGTGTTGAGACTATTCCAACCTTTCTCCTCTATTTTGAAATATAAAATAAATTATTGACTACTATAGTCACCCTACTGTGCTGTGAACACTACAACTTATTCCTTCTGTCTAACCGTATTTTCGCTCCTTTTAACTTCTCTTCATCTCCCTCTCCCTCTGTATCCTTCCCAGCCTCTGGTAACCACAATTTTACTCTCTATCTCCATGGAATCAACCTTTTTAGCTCCCACTTATGAGCACCTAACTTCAAAGTAAGACCCACAACCATGCAGCTAGTCCCAGAAAATGATTTGAGAAAATGCTTGAAAATGTTGATCTGGGCAATGTTTTCTTTTTTTTTTTAATTAAGACCTTCTTCTGAAGAAAAGGGCATACTTTTCACTGAAAAAAAGTTTGAGTTTTTTAAATGAGCAGATACTCATGCATTACTAGTGCAGCCAAAAATTATCAAAAAGTAGGGAAGAATGCAAAATAGCGTGTGCCTCTTAACTAAAGAACTGTTAAGATACAAAACTTGGCTCTTCGCTGCCTTTCCCTCACTGCCAAGAGGGAAACATGAATTAGTTACATTACCGTCGTGCTCATTGGGAGCTCGCTATATGGACCAGATGGGGACTGCTCTGAATTTCCATTCAAGTCTGACATTCTTTTGTCAGCGTTTGTGTAACCGGCTTTCCTTGCATTCAGAGGAAAGGAGGTATGGAAGTATGGATGGGAAGGTTGGGACGATTCGATACAGTATGGTAACCTCGATCGCAGCTCTCCTATGAGACTTGCTTCATGGATTCTGAGTCACTGAAGCTTGCCCCTTCTCTTTCCTGACCCTCTTCCGTTTCCCCTTAGATTGGAGATTCTCCTCAGATTCTAAGTCTCTGAAATTATTAGTGTTCGCAGTCTCTGGGCCCATGGAGGGGTCTCAAGTCTTCAGTTCTCAAAGATCACCTTTTAAGCTTCATTCGAAACATGATACAGCCACACGAATCCTAGCCCTGAATCTCACGAAGACCTCAGTACACCTGGGGAAGGCAGCACACCCAGTTCCGACACTACTAGAGACGTCACACGCCGCAGCACCCACCCGCTCCCGGCCCAGAGCGAGCGCACGCGCAGAACGAGAGAGCGGTCACCCAGGGATCGGGGCTATCTGCACAGAGGTTACAGTCTCGGAAAGGCCTGGCTTCTTCGTGGCTTTGTGGAGATCCCGCACAGCGGCCATTCGATTAGCACCCGAAGAGATTCAAAGGAAGCAGCTGTTCAGTCCCCAGCATATTTCCGTTTCAAACAACCCACTTCCGGTTTTTCAGCCGGTTCCGGTCCCGCCCTTCACTTCCGGTTGCTTTCGGTCTCGCAGCGGCCGGTTTCTGCGTCCGCTGCCGCTGGTTCCACCGCGCTCCAGGTGAGGGGTTGCGGGGCACCCTGGCGCGCTCCCCATAGAGACGCTGCTGGGGCTCGGGGACAGTGGCTTTGCCGCCCGCGCGGCGTGGCTTGCACTGCGGCGGGCTGGGGATAGTGTCTGTCCTAGTCCGACGCCCAGGCCCCTAGCCCCGGCCCGCTTAGTCGCGGGGGCTGCTGTCCTCCTATCCAGCCGTCTCGCCTATTTCTAGGGCTTTCTGTTTCCCAGTGGGTTTTGCGTCCCTAGACTTCATTCCTCCATCTTCTCAGGCTTGTCCATCCCTCCCCTCACCCTCCTTATTGAAAGCATCCCGACCTTTTTGGTCTGCAGTCTCCACCTGCCTCCTGATGCTACCCTAAATCAGTCAGCACAGCCCCCGACCTGCATCACCTAGCAGTTGTTGCTGGTGTGCGGTTCTCGCCGGGAATTCTTAGTGCTTCACGGTTACCTTTTGCTGGGATTGTTGAAAGTTAGCCTCCCTTTAATTCCCAAAGTGTTACTTTTACTGCTATACTTTAAAATTTCTTCATTTGCCACTTTTAAGGTTTGTGGTCCCGGGCAAGTTTAATTTCTTTTCAGGTTTCTCATTTGTATAATGAGGACAACAGCTATTGGTTCAGGATTGTGAAGATTCAGTGAGATAATTAAATTGTTTAGCATGTTGTTATTCCATCATGAACACTATTCGTATTGGGTTTTACAGTTTACAAAGTGCTGTCACAGGTGTTAGTTCATGCCTTAACACTACTCCTGTCCAGTGAATATTAGTAGCCTCATCTTGTTGAGAAGACTGAGGTCGAGAGGTAGATTGACTAGGCAAAGTCAACACAGTATGTTAGGCAGAACTCGAACGCAAACAGATATTCTTGACCCGAGGTTGACCATATAGAATTGTGTTCTTTGCTTACTTGTTTGGGTTTGCCAACTTCACTCCTCCCCACACCCCAAATCGTTTCTCAGTTTATAAATCTGATGGGATCTGAAATGATGCAAAATACTAAGAAAGAAGGTTAAATGTGAAAGCAAAATTGCGCATGCGTTTATGTCACACTGCTTCATTGGTGTAAATGGTCTTAATAATGATGAAATAAGGTTCAGTAACTTTTAAACAAATCTTAAAGACATATGCATTTACAATTTTTATGGTGTTTGTTTTGCTTGGCCCTTTAAGGCATTTGCCAACTTGGAATTTCCACTTGTGGGATAGGTGCTTTATAACGTTTTTTATGCTGCTTTGTTAAGCATATAAAGCCCATACCCTCTGGTACTTTTTTTTTTTAAGGCTGAAAACATTGAAGAGCGTGTAGCACTGGCTCTCAAATTTGAGCATGCATCAGAGGTGAGGAGGATGGACTTGGTAAAACACAGATTCCTAAGTCCCTTCTCTCCACCCCAATTACATTTCTACCAAATTACCAAGTGAGGTCAATGCTGTTGGTTGGCCCAGGGACCACGCTTTGAAAACCGCTAGTCTAGAAGAGCAGTGACTTGTCCAGAGTCACCTGGAACTCAGATGATCTCACTCCAAACTCTGCGCTACTACTCATCACAATATATGCGATATTAGTGCTGGTTGCCTTTCTAGCTCTGGTAGGATTCCCTTTTATTCTTACCTCTTACAGAAAGTATTTCAACTGTATTTCGGTTTAACTCAAAAGGTCCACTTTTAATTGAAGGATATAACATTTGTTACAGTTCTGTGTAAAATGGAATACGTTACCCTAAGCTAACACACTTGCTTTACGTTTTCAGTAGAACACGTTGTAAACATAGGAGTAAGTACACATTTTTAGTTCATATTTGTATTCATATATGAGTAAATATAAAAGTGAATGTATAGTGCTCTCTTCTACTAATTGGCCTCTTAGTAGGAGATACTGGTTTCAAATTATTTTTGGATGTTGAGATTAAAAATGTGCCCTCTTTCTTGGAGTTGGTCCTAATAGTTGCATGAAGAGTGCAATCAAATGTTTCATCAAATAAGTGAAAGCATTGGAAATACCAATACGTTGAGATTAGAAAATCCAGTTCTCTGGACTGTGGGAGGAATGAGTTTTATGAAAAGTAGAAAGCTTTATGCAGGAAGAGACATATGTTTGGTTATTTACATGAGTAGCAGCCACTATATAATCTTTGTGTGCTTAGATCTGTGTCCATGGGTTTTATATTTACTGACTGATATGGTTTGGCTGCGTCCCTACCTAAATCTCAACTTGAATTGTATCTCCCAGAATTCCCACTTGCTGTGGGAGGGACCCAGTGGGAGGTAATTGAATTATGGGGGCCAATCTTTCCTGTGCTATTCTTGTGGTAGTGAATAAGTCTCATGAGATCTGATGCGTTTATCGGGGGTTTCCGCTTTTGCTTCTTCCTCATTCGCTCTTGCCATTGCCATGTAAAAAGTGCTTTTTACCTTCCACCATGATGCTGAGGCCTCCCTAGCCATTGTGGAACTGTAACCAGCTGGGATTACAGGCGCCCACCACCACGCCTGGCTAATTTTTTTTGTATTTTTAGTAGAGATGGGGTTTCACCATGTTGGCCAGGCTAATCTTGAACTCCTGACCTCAGGTGAGCCACCTGCCTCAGCCTCCAAAGTCCTGGGATTACAGGCGTGAGCCACTTTGGCCAGCCTCAGGTATGTCTTAGTTGGCAGCGTGAAAACAGACTAATACCGTAAATTTGTACCAGTAGAGTGGGGCATTGCTGAAAAGATACCCGAAAATGTGGAAGCAACTTTGGAACTTGGTAACAGGCAGAGGTTGGAACAGTTTGGAGGGCTCAGAAGAAGACAGGAAAATGTGGAAAGTTTGGAACTTCCTGGAGACTTGTTGAATGGCTTTGCCCAAAATTCTGATAGCGACATGGACAATAAGGTCCTGGCTGAGGTGGTCTCAGATGGAGATGAGGAACTTGTTGGGAACTGGAGTAAAAGTGACTCTTGTTATGTATTAGCAAAGATACTGGTGACACTTTGCCCCACCCTAGAAATTTGTGGAACTTTGAACTTCAGAAAGACGATTTAGGGTATCTGGCAGAAGAAATTTCTAAGCAGCAAAGCACTCGAGGTGATTTTGGGACTGTTAAAGGCACTCAGTTTTATAAGGGAAGCAGAGCATAGAAGTTTGGAAAATTTGCAGCCTGACTATGCAATAGAAAAGAAAAACTCATTTTCTGGGGAGAAATTCAAGCTGGCTGCAGAAATTTACATAAGTAGCAAGGAGCCTAATGTTAATTCCCAAGACCTAGGGGAAAATGTCTCCAGGCTATGTCAAAGACCTTCATGGCAGCCCCTCCCATCACAGGCCTGGATGTCTAGGAAGGAAAAAAGGTTTTGTGGGCTGGGACAAGGGTCCCCATGTTGTGTGCAGCCTAGGGACTTGGTGCCCTGTTTCCCAACCACTCCAGCCATGACTGAAAGGGGCCAATGTACAGCTTGGGCTGTGACTTCAGAGGGTGGAAGCCTCAAGCCTTGGTAGCTTCCATATGGTGTTGAGCCTGTGGGTACACAGAAGTCAAAGAATTGAGGTTTGGCAACCTGTGCCTAGATTTCAGAAGATATATGGAAACACCTGGATGCTCTGGCAAAAGTTTGCTACAGGGGTGGGACCCTCATGGGGAACCTCTGCCAGGACAGTGTGGACAGGAATTGTGGGGTCGGAGCCCCCATACAGAGTCCCTATTGGGGCACTGCCTAGTGGGGCTGTGAGAAGAGGGCCACCATCGTCCAGATCCCAGAATGGCAGATTTAATGACAGCTTGTACTGTGCACCTGGAAAATCCGCAGACTCTCAATGCCAGCCCGTAAAAGCAGCTGGGAGGGAGGGTGTACCTTGCAAAGCCACAGGGGTAGAGCTGCCCAAGACCATAGGAACCCACCTCTTGCATCAGTGTGACCTGGATGTGAGATCTGGAGTCAAAGGAGATCATTTCAGAGCTTGAAAATTTGACTCCCCACTGGATTTCAGACTTGCATGGGCCCTGTAACTGCTTTGTTTTGGCCAATTTCTCCCATTTGGAACGGCTGTATTTACCCAATACCTGTACCCCCTTTGTACCTAGGAGGTAACTAGCTTTCTTTTGATTTTACAGGCTCATAGGCGGAAAGGACTTGCCTGGTCTTAGATGAGACTTTGGACTGTGGACTTTTAGGTTAATGCTGAAATGAATTAAGACTTTGGGGGACTGTTGGGAAGGCGTGATTGGTTTTGAAATGTGAGGACATGAGATTTGGAGGGGCCAGGGGCAGAATGATATGGTTTGGCTCTGTGCCTACCAAAATCTCAACTTGAATTTTATCTCCCATAATTCCCATGTGTTATGAGAGGGACCCAGGGGAAGGTAATTGAACCATGGGGGCCGGTCTTTCCTGTGCTATTCTCATGATAGTGACTAAGTTTCATGAGATCTGATGGGTTTATCGGGGGTTTCTGCTTTTGCTTCTTCCTCATTCTCTCTTGCCACTGCCATGTAAGAAGTGCTTTTTGCCTTCCACCATGATTTTGAGACCTCCCCAGCCATTCTCGAACTGTAAAGTCCAATTAAACCTCTTTTCTCTTCCCAGTCTTAGTTATGTCTTTATTGGCAGTGTGAAAACAGGCTAATACACTGATCTTTGATGTCTTAACCCTTGTACTTTCAACTGAAGAGAGAGAATTGTGGAGGACAAGAAACCTAAGTTTTAATTAGAAGACCTGTTCTGTAACTAGCTTTGTGTCTATGTGCAGATTACATAGCCTCTCAAAACTGCTGTTTCCTTAATTGTAAAAGAGGGGAAACTTATCAAATTACTTTCTCTAATGAGATTGTGTAAAAACTTCAATTCATAAAATATGAAACAAATTATGGCTCTTTACTGTTTATTTAGCACAGTGCCTGCCTGGAACATAATAAGCTTTCAGTTTAAAAAGATTTTTGTTTAACCAATACTTAATTAATGTAGTGTTTACTAGGTGCTAGGTACTATGTAACTTGTAAATGTTAATTAATTTAATCCTCATAAGAGCCCTAAGAAGTAGGTAGTATCATCATCCCTATTTTACAGATGAGGAAACCTAGGCACTGAGAGTCAAGTAACTTCTCAAAGTCAGATAGCTAAGCGGGAGAGATCCGGAATCTGAACCCAGGCCATCTGGCTCTAAAGTCTGTGTTCTTAACTATACCACACTACCTTTCAAATGTTAAATGAACATTGATGGTCTGTCAGGGAAGGACTTGCCTGTAGCATCAACCTGACCAAATAGAGCAGGAGGAATGGTAGCTCATAATTGCACATTTCCAGTTGAACAGTGAGAGTCAGAGTATTAGAAAGTAGTAACTCTAAGCCAAAAATTAGAAGTGTGGGGGAATTTAACTTTGAGTCCTAGGATCTTTTGGTGTTCTGGTAGTATTCCTGTACGGACAAAAATCCTCTGTGTCATCATTTGTAAAATACGGCTCAAAGTGTACACATAAAACTTGAAAGTTTGGCTTCAGTATACAGTATCTATTTTAACTTGTTCACTTTTTGTCTTTCTTTCCAGGTATTTTTTTTCTGAAGGAAAGCTGCTTCCTCATATGTTTCAAGAATGGCTCTCCCTATCATTGTAAAATGGGGTGGACAGGAGTATTCAGTGACCACACTTTCAGAAGATGATACTGTGCTCGATCTCAAACAGTTTCTCAAGACCCTTACAGGAGTGCTTCCAGAACGCCAAAAGTTACTTGGACTCAAAGTTAAAGGTAATTCTCTCCCCTCTTCAGAATTTTTTGCATTGAATTTTTAGTATTATGAATTTTAATAATTATTTTGAGTATAATTGTTTAATAATTTATACTTGCTATTTGTTGTTTAGTAAGTCTTTCCCTTTCGAGATTTCTTTAGTAGAAATATTCTTAAAATTGTTTTAGTGGTAAAAGTGAGAATATTAAAGTGTCCTTGAAAATACCATGATTATTAAGATTACTTTTGATGTTTTAGACAGTTGGTATTTGCTTGTTAAACCTTTAGCACAGAAGTCCTTTATGAAACTCATTTATTTTCTGACATCTACCTTTTAGCACAGTGTTTTGTACTCTTCCCAAGGGCCTTGTACTCTTCCCAAATTATCTTTTCTGTTTCAAAAGTAAAGACAACATTTAAAAATTACAGGCAGCATTCATATCCAGTTTAAAAGGCATTTTTTATGGTGTTTTGTGATTATCATATGAATGATGAGTGAGTTTTGAGTAACAGTAAATCTACAGTTTTCATAGGCACTCAATTTTTAAGACTTCCTGGAAAACAGTAATACTCATTTTGAACAGCAGAATAAAACATGAATTAATTTTGTTTAGGTAGTTGAATAAAGGTGTTCGTCTAACATAGAACTGGGGAGAAAATAACCCTTGTATTAATTTTGACTTCTTAGTGTCTTAGATATGACTAATTCAGCAGAAACAATTTGTTAATGTAGGAAAAACAGAAACAACAAAAATTGCTGTGACATGTGTACCAAACCTTTTAATGTTAAGGTTTTGTATGATGGAATAGTAAAACCAGCACCTGTGAGAAAACAGTCATTTGCTTGTATTGTAGGCAAACCTGCAGAAAATGATGTTAAGCTTGGAGCTCTCAAACTGAAACCAAATACTAAAATCATGATGATGGGAACTCGTGAGGAGAGCTTGGTAAATGTTTACTTTTTGTTACTATTTGTCCATTTGAAGATATTATGATTTATACTGCACTGTTGTATTATAGTTTTAATTGTGGTAAAATTGTCAGTCTAGCAATCAATGAAAAATAAAACCCGCACCGTGAATGTGGTATTAACTGTGTAAGTATAGTAGTAGTGCAAATGGTCAAATTTAATATGGTAAATCTGCCCAGGAAACATACATAATGAATTATTAATTGTGGAGATTTTCCAGTGTGGGCTTAAAAGACTCTGTAACTCGAATTGTATCTCTCATTTGATTTTTATGCTATGCATGTATTTGTTATATTAAGGATAATAGGGGTAAAACAAAACTTTTTCCATCTTAATAGGAAGATGTCTTAGGTCCACCCCCTGACAATGATGATGTTGTTAATGACTTTGATATTGAAGATGAAGTAGTTGAAGTAGAAAATAGGTAAGTGCTTTTCGCTTTAGAAGTAATCAGTTGTCATGTGAGAATAAGTGAATATTTTATCTAATTATATGTTTTCAATTAGGGAAGAAAACCTACTGAAAATTTCTCGCAGAGTGAAAGAGTACAAAGTGGAAATTTTGAATCCTCCCAGGGAAGGGAAAAAGCTTTTGGTACTAGATGTTGATTATACATTATTTGGTAAGTGAGTTAATGATGCTTTTCATTTTCTGTTACCCACAACAACTCTTTTTTTTCTTTTCTTTTTTTTTTTTTCTTAGCAACTCATGGTTCTCATGAAATACTTGAAAACTTTTCTTATTACAAAAGTAAATTGCTCATTGTAGAAAATACAGATAACCAAAAAAAGAAGTCATCTGTAATAGTGATACCCAAAGATGACCACTCTTAATAATTTGATGTATATCTTCTAGACTGTTTGTATGGATCTCCTCTAATTATTTAATAACAGATTGAACATCATCTCAGTAAAATATTGTTTATTTTGAATGATGTATGTATGTGTGTGTGTGTATATATATGTATACACACTTTTTTTTTTGGCCAGATAGTGTTCTAGTTTATGGATGCATCATCATTTAACCATGTGACTCCCTGTTGATTATAAATAATTTTTTATAAGGAATATTTAAAAAAATTATTTTTGATATTTTATCACTAGTTTTCTGTTTAATTATATTCAAGCAGACTCCTGAATTTAAACTTTCTCATGTAGGCCAGGTGCAGTGGCTCACATCTATATCCCAGCACTTTGGAAGACTGAGGTGGGAGGATCGTTTGATCTCAGGAGTTGGAAATCAACCGGGGAAGCATAGCAAGACCTCAACTCTACTAAAAACTAAAAATATTAGCTGGATGTGGTGGTATGCACCTAGTCCCAGCTGCTTTAGGAGGCTGAGGTGGGAGGATTACTTGAGCCCAGATTAAGACTGCAGTGAGCTATGGAGTGCCACTGCAGTCCAACCTGGGTGACAGAGTGAGACCCTATCTCAAAAAAAAAAAAAAAAAAGTGTTTTGTGTTCATTGAAAAAGAAAGATGTTCTGCTTATGTATAATGTTGGCAAGAAATAGTTAACTTCTGATATTGGAATTTATTTCTAACCCTAAACCTAAAATATAAGTTAATGTATAGTTTTTAAAAATTTAATTAATTGGTTAATTGGCCCTATCATTTTGATGAAATGTGATTATATCTGCAAGATAGATGACTAAAGGTGAGTATAAGTGGACATAGTTTGTTTTTCATTATTAAAAAATAACATCTAAACTTCAGAGACTAGGTGAGAAAAAAATTTACAGGTTACTACTTAAGCCTGAATTTTCAGTATTGCTTTTTGCAAACTGAGCAAAATTGATCGACTAAAATTGGATCTTAAGGATTTTTAATTGTATGGTTTGAAAGACATCTTTTTGTCAGCCAATATAATTCAGTCTGAAGCAGTTTGCACTGGAATGTTTGTATTGCATTTCATAATATATTACATTTTATAATAATTGGTATTAGGTACTTGTTCATGATGGTAAACTAATAATTATGATCGATTTTCTTTTAGACCACAGGTCTTGTGCAGAGACTGGGGTAGAGTTAATGCGGCCATATCTTCATGAATTTCTAACATCTGCCTATGAAGATTATGACATTGTTATTTGGTGTAAGCTGTATTTTTTTGCTTAGATTTCTGTGGAAATAAGGTTGTTCCATATATTATTGTGCTGTATAAAATGTGACTTAAAATGACCTATATTTAAATATGAAATAGTTTTCATTTTTTAGCAAATTTCTAAAACGAAGTGTGTATCATAATATAAACTTACACATATATTTGCCAAATACCAGTGAGATAGTAAATTTAAGTATAGGACGTGAGTACATTATAGTATAAGAATAAAAATAACTAATTTTCCCAATGACCCCACCTTGATTTGAAGTTTTTCCTTCTGATTTTTTTTTTTTTTTAAACTGGGGACATATCTTTAGGGTCTTGCTGTATTGCCCAGGCTGGTCTCGAACTCCTGGGCTCAAGTAATCCTCCTGCCTTGGCCTCCCAAAGTGCTGGGATTACAGACATGAGCCAACGTGCCCAGCCTTTCCTTCTGATCTTTGCTGTGGAATTCTTGATGCTTCAGAATATTTTTGCTTTCTCCTTTTTTCCTGACTCCAGTTTTAAAATACTTGGAAAAAGGTGTTTAAAATAAATCACACTGATGTAGTTCTCTGGAAATAAAGGCAACTTGAATTACTTAAGGAAAAATTAATATGTGGACTAAAGCAGTGACATTGAAATTGTGGTCTATGGACCATTTCAAGAATGTACAGGTCTGTGATAAGATACTGAGTTTGCTTCAAGAAGTATATCTACTGTAATAGTATGCACACTATTCAGTTCAATTAATGTTTTTTGGTAGCAAGATTTTCTTGAAAAATGAAGCAATGCATTGATTTACATCCCTCCTCCCCACAAATACATGAGTTCACAGCTGTTAAGATTAAAATTATCGTCAAAATATATAATTTTCTGGTTTAGTAAGATAAGGCGAAGAAAGCTTGCTGGTAAGCAAATTTTTGTTTAGCAACTTTGACATCTAAGATGATATTTGAAAAAAAAATTTATCCTTTAAATGTTATTAAACTAGACTTATAAAATTTGAGAACCTTTTACAATCGTATATTTAAATTATTTTTATAAACCATGGTATTTTGTGGTGTTCATTGAAAAGAATACTTCACTTTGGAGCTAAATAGACTAAGATTTTAATTCTGGCTCTGTTCTTACTGTGTGACACTGAGCAGGTCATTTAATCTCTCTGAGCCTTAGTTTCCTTATTTGAGAAATGAAGATAACTAAATATAACAAGTTAGTTGTAAGAATAGAAGTGTCAATATAGCAACTAGTACTATGTCTGACATATAGTTACTTAATAATTAGAAACTTTTTATTAGCTGTGAGTCTTTGTTTTTCATCTGATAATTGCAGATACAAAATAAGTACTGAATTAATTTTTTTTTCTATCTTATGATGGTTTTCATTGGAGATACAACAGTCTTTAAAATTTTAGCTCAACTGACTAGTTTCGTATGTGTAAAGTGGTTCTTCTGTTTTTTGTATGTGTGCATGCTGAAGATTTTTTATTTTGAGAACTCAGGTTCCTCTTTTGCTTTTAAAAATTATACACACACACACTTCAAATAATTAAATTGCTTTTTCTCTTTTTAAACATTTTACTTGGTTATACCTGTATAGTTTAGTCCAGTAAACCAGGAGAGCACATAAAGATGAGGATTTAAGTTTAGTATTAATGATCTCAAAGCTGGTTAATGTCTGACAATGAGCAGATACATGATGCAGGTATACTTTATGAATTTGTCTCAGATTTCTTGTTAGAAGCTGCTAGACTCAGAGAGCTTTAATTTACTGAGACTGACAAAATGCAGATTTTCATTGAACCTAACTAGCTGGTTGTCAACATAAACTTTTGACACATAACAATATGCTTATATTGACACTGTGTATACCTGTGCATTGCCTAGAAGTAGGAACATGGAAAAAAGTGATCCAGTTACCCGAGTTTAAGTTTGGGTGATAGAGTGTCAGGGCTGATTCAAAAAGAGAGTTTAGGTCTTGATTTGTAAATTTCCTAGGTTCAGAGTTCTTCTGAGCATGGGTTACCTGTATCTTATAGATAAAAGTTGTTTAAAATTTATTCTGTCTTGAAGACACACTGCAATAAGTTTACTTTTATCATTATTTAAAAGAAAATTACCATAAATGCTAGGGACTGTTAATTCTGATGCATTTAAACTTTTAGTTTTGCTTAGAAAACTTATTTATACAGATTTTTTTTTAAAGAAATTCAAACTTTTCATATGTATTGTATTATCATTCCTCATGTTTTAGCTGCAACAAATATGAAGTGGATTGAAGCTAAAATGAAAGTAAGTGTTAGAAAGCAATCCATTTAAAAATATTTTCAAACTGCATTTGTCTTGTTAAAAGTTCTAGAACTGAATTAGTTTTATTCTTACTGGAGGGCACTTAGTAGATAGATAAATGCCATTATTGGGAGTATAGGCTTTTTTTAAAGTGTGTTTATTAAGTGGATTGTACTGATCCCTGAGTTTTTTTTTAAGAAAAAGTATAACTAAGCTTGTCCCCTCCCCCACATTCTTCCTCATTTTACAATAATACTTTATTTTCCTTCTTTTGCTCTGGTGTTTAATACTTAAAGAGTCAGTATTCTCCTAAAATGGAGATTAGGAAGTAATCTATTTCTAGTTTATTTTCCTTGGTCTAGCATTTATTGACTTAGCTAAGTGAAACTAAAATACTTCCTAGTTGTTCAGCAAGATGCAGTGGCCAGTGGTGTAGAAAGTTGGCATTATGAGAAATTGCAGCTAGAATATTCAGAAAATCTGAAATTTTCCATATTACTATGTTTTAACCTCATGAATATTTGTGTTTATAGGAGCTGGGAGTGAGCACAAATGCAAATTATAAGATTACTTTCATGTTGGATAGTGCTGCTATGATAACAGTACATACTCCAAGGAGAGGATTAATAGATGTAAGAAGTCATTTTACTTCTATTTAATGACATGGTTATTTTCCAGTGTACTTGGTATGTTTATACTGATGGAGTAAATTAAAGAAAGAGTATAGAGATTCATCTGAGTGAATAATAAAGTGGTTGAGTTTTGACATAGCAAAATGTATTTAAGGTTGAAAGATTTGAATTTTAATGATAAAATTAAGGATCTTGAAGCAGGACTGTCAAGAAAGAAACTTGTGATTGTGCGTAATCGACCTGTGTTGATGACAGCACAACGTTACTGGGCAGAGTAGGTGAGAAAAATACTGAATATTATCAAGGAAGATACTAGGAACAAACAAAAACACTCACCCTGCCCTGTATGAAATTGGTAATAAAAGCAGATGCATCATGATGCATGTACTTTGGGGTGATGCTAGAGAATAGCAACAAGAACAATCAGAGAAAAGGGTTGGACTAACCAGTTATTTTAGTTGTCAAGTAACTATTTATATTATTAAGTTCCTACTATCTGGAAGGTCCTGTGATTGGCACTGTTGGAAATAAAGAGATGAGTGAGACACAGTCCATACCGTTTGAAAGCACTCAAACTGTTAGCTGGGCTGGATAGTGCATGCCTGTAATCCCAGCTACTCAGGAGGCTAGGGCAGGAGAATTGCTCGAACCCAGGGGGTGGAGGTTGCAGTGAACTGAGATCGCGCCACTGCACTCCAACCTGGGTGATGGAGCAAGACTCCTATCTCAACAAAATAAAGTAAAAATAAAATAAAAACATAAAAACACCCAAACTAATAGGAATTGAGGAGAACTTAGGATATGAGGAAACCTTAGGGGAGACAGTATTAAAATCATGAAAACCATAAATAGAATGATTTAAGAGCATGGGGACTTGTTCTATAAAGTAAATACTGCATGTATCAGGAAAAAGATAACTCATTATATACTAAAATAAAATAATACATTTACAAAATCTTAACGTTAAAAATTACTTAGGGAAATGTTAAACATGTTTTATAACAGTGAAAAATTAAAGGAATAAAAATAATCCTCAATATCCAGCAGTAGGGAATGGGATATATAAACTACTGTTATCTATGTAAGGAACTGTGGCTCGTCATTTGATGTGGTAGGATATGTAATGATTTAGAAATTTTCATGACACATTTAAGTGAAGTATTTTAGAGAACACTGTTGTAAGCCATTAGAAAATAGTTCTTAACCTTTCTTTGGTTCAGGATTACCCTTAGTTTAACAAAGAACCTGTCAACTCTCTGAGGCTGCTCTTGTTTATAAAAATGCCTGAGCCAATATATCAGAATATTGAGTTATTGTCCTTGGTACTGATAGATTATTGATGATTTAAAATTTTCCTTTGTGCTTTTCAGTATTTTGAAGCTTTTTTTGTAGTTAGCAATATTACTTTTCTAATTGAGAACAAAGTAGTTTGTGTTTTGGGGAACATATCTATGGTGCTTGACCTAATTGCCAAATGACAGCACTTTTTAAGAGGATGTAGGATTTTTATTCTGGATGTCATAAAAAGTGACCTCTGTTGTCATATTTCTTGAGGCTTTTGTTAGCTAAAAATCCCCAAAATATGGCTTATAGTATTAGTTCCTATATATTTGTCTTATTTTGCAGGACTGGAGTGGGTGGTTTCTGTTTCAGTAGTAAACAAGATTAGTAGCAAAAAAAGAAAATCAGGAAAGTAAAATTTTAGTAAATTAAAATATTTCATTAACATTTTTTGTAATAGGACCATAGGAAGGAAAAAGCTTTCTCCAAATTAAGTTATAGGAGGAAAAAAATTTTAAAGTGACAACCTTTATCACTCTTTATTTATTACCACTTAATCTCATACATTTATTATTACATTCTGTTCTCTTAATACCATAAGACTTTTGTCTTCAGCAAAAGTAATTTTCTAGAAATTAATTAAAAAATTTTTCCAAATGTGTAGTGACTAAAAGAAGAATAAAGTACATAATGAAAAGTCATCTTTCACCTGGCACATAGCCACTTATTCTCCCTATAGTCAATCAGTGTTATTTCCTGTGTGGTCTTACAGAGACTTTACATAAGTACCAATAGGTAAGACTATATGAGAAATTATCTCTTTGAAGCTTCAGTTTAACAAATCAGAAATAAGAGTAAGAATTTGTAAAATATGGTGCTTCTGAAGTTAAGCAAATTCCCTAGAAATTATGCACCTGTGCCACTGAGTTAAAGATAAAATGAGTTTTTCCTCTATAAAATATTTAAAGTATCAATTGACAGAGCCAAATACATTTTTTTTGACTAGGGTGTTCTAGTTTGGAAAGCAGACTCCATGTGACTCCCAAGCTCTGAGAGGGAATGTGTTAACCAAGGAAGTCATGTGACTGCATAGCAGACATCTAAACAGTTACTTTGGATTTTTAAAAAATTAAATAATTATTTTACCCAAAATCTTCATGTTAAAATTATGGAAAGTTTTATAATGGGTGTAGTTCAGTTGGACATGAACCAACCTTTCAGAAGTTTCAGTGTTGCAAAATGCATTGTGCTTTAAAGTGGGTTGCATTTAATAATTAGCTCACACCTGTCTCACAGGAGGAAAGGAACGCTTTGGCATTGTTTTGCAGGGCAGTTTGCAGTATTCCTGCTTTTAAGACAGGATGAAATGTTGATAAAATTTGAGTTAAATGTAAACTTTTGTTCTAAGGTAAAGCCTCTTGGTGTTATATGGGGAAAGTTTTCGGAGTTTTACAGCAAGAAAAACACCATTATGTTTGATGACATAGGGAGAAATTTTCTAATGAACCCACAGAATGGACTAAAGGTAAGACATACTTTTACTTGTTATGTGCTCACGTAATCTGGACTGTGTGGTAGAACTTTTGTAGTAAGCACTGTTGAATTTCATATATTTTTGGAAGTACTGTATTCTTATGTCACAGGCAAGAAAAGTTTAAGAACAATTCATGTAGAAATTGAACTTTGTCTTTTTTGCATTGATGTCTCCATAGTTAGCTAGTTCATCCAAGTGTTTGTTTGTTTGTTTGTTTGTTTGTTTGTTTTTGAGACGGAATCTCACTCCATCGCCCAGGCTGGAGTGAGGTGGTGCGGTATCGGCTCACTGCAGCCTCCACTTCCCGGGTTCAAGTGATTCTCCTGCCTCAGCCTCCTGAGTAGCTAGGATTACAGGAGTGCACCACCACATCCAGCTAATTTTTGTATATTTAATAAAGACGGGGTTTCACCATGTTGGCCAGGCTGACCTCCTGATGTGCCCACCTCGGCCTCCCAAAGTACTAGGATTGCAGGCGTGAGCCACTGTGCCTGGCCCAAGTATTTTATTTTTAATTAGCTCTGTGGGAGCAACATGGGCTTCCCAACATTGACTTTTAGCATCAAAAGTAAAATCATTAGTTATTTATTTAGGTATACAAATCTTGGAATTTTAAACATTCTGGTTAGCTTGAGAAATGGCAGTAAGGGTACTTTGTTTTTCTTTTTAAAGTGAAACTAAAGACGTTTTTGAAAATTCCTAGAGGGCAAGTACAGATCTTAGAATTAGACGTTGCTAGAGCTAGAAGGAACCACAGTCATCTCTTGCCTACCTTCTTAACTTTGGAAACAGTCTCAGGTTGAAGAAGTTCCTGACTTGCCCAAGATTGTGTGTGTAACTGGCTAATGGCAGAATTTGGGTTAGACTCTAGTGACTTGGTTCCTAGGTCAGTGACAATCCTAGCATGCAATTGCATGCAATCTTATGTGACATTTCATCTTGGTAACAGTGTAAAATTGGTAAGAGTGAAATTTGAAACTTAAAAGTTTCTGGTACCCATAGTAATTACATGTTGGCGCAATATGAAAATGGAAAAGACAGCTCTATACTATGGCACTATTGCATATGGAGTCTCCATTTGAAGCGCAGTCCTGACACTGAGATGTTTTTATCCTCAGTCCTAAACTTTTCTACTAGCTGGGTCCTTGGTAGTTCTAAAAGACAAGAGAGAAAAACTTAAAGTACATTTTTTAAACTTTTCTTTTGTTGATTTGATTTTTTGTTTACAATGAGGATATTTTAGGGAAAGAATGCTAATCTAGGTAGTGAATTGCCACAAGTATAAAAGCTATTGACTTGGAAGAAAAGTGGTTATGTTGTCCTTAATGGTTTCTGTTTAAGGTTTGGGGAGAAGTGCTTTTCTTACGTGTGCTTCACCAGGTATAAGGTACAAAAATGTATTCTTGAGTCTTGAGAAGAAATGTGATTGATGTAAACTTAATTGTCTGTGAAACTAGTGGTTATTACCTATTCTTGCAAGGAGGTGAGCCCATGATGGTCAAGGAATAATTTTTGAGGAGACCTTTAGCTTTTTTTTAAAAAAAATACTATCATTAGTTTCATGTTTGTTTAGAAGAAACTTTGTTTTCCTAACCAACATTTGAGTTCCATTCATCTCTTGATGCAGGGAGAGATGTTATTGTAAATGTCTACTTCTTTATGTTACTTTACAGTAGGGTTTCCAAAAGACTGTACTTAGTAGACCCACTAAAGGGATTCCTTAAAAAACATATGTCCCCATCCCCTAAATTCCAATTCCAGAGGTAGATTTAGATGCTCCACGGGTGGTCCTTGCGTGTCTTTTATTGAAAACCTCTTTTTTATAAAATTAATCTACCCAAGATAACACTTCATGAAAACCTCTTTTAAGGTTAAAGATTAAAGGTTAAGATTAAGGTTAAATATCTGCCCACACCATCATAGAAACAGGTAGGGTTTTTTGTTGTTTGTTTCTTGAAACAGAGTCTTGCTCTGTCACCCAGGCTGGAGTGCAGTGGCATGGTCATAGCTTATTGCAGCTTCGACTTCCCTTGCTCCAGTGATCCTCACATGTCAGCCTCCCGAGTAGCTGGGTGCACTACAGGTGCACACCACCACACCCGGCTACTTTTTGTATTTTTGGTAGAGACAAGGTTTTGCCGCATTGCCTACCTAGGCTGGTCTCGAACTCCTGAGCTCAGGCGATCCACCTGTCTCAGCCTTTCAAAGTGCTGGGATTACAGGCATGAGCAACTTTGCCCAGCCCAGAAACAGTTCTAAAATGGAGAAATATCCTCAAATACTGTGTTTTGTTATCATGCTTTCATAATGCGCTTGGTAGAAATCTCAAAGATTTCATGTAGATCTTAAAAATAAGACTGCTTATTTTGAAAATAGTTCTATTAAACATAAGTTTGTCAGTCATAAGGTTTGAAATATATGGAAGGTACTGTGAATATGAATTTAGAATTACACTAAAAGAATATGAATCTTGTTCATGGATAAAGCAGCTTATCGGCTGAAAACTCCATTTTTATTGTCCATACAAGGAAATTGTGATATAGGAGAATTCAGCTAATCTGGACAATCTTAAGTTTCTAAAAATGCTTCCTTGACCTGAGACTAGAGGGTGGTTTCCTGTCCTTTTAGTGATCACTTAGATCAATATTTAAAAATATACAGTAAACAGTGGTTATACTGGAGCAAGTGAAGTCAATTAGGTGAATAGATTTTCACCCTTAATTTGTTTATTTTAAATTTTAGAACCAGAATCATTAGAATATTTTAGTTTTGTTGTTTAATAGTGCTTAAGAGCAGCAAATGTTTGGAAAGTAAAAATAACTTAGCAGAGCCTTGGGTTGAAAATCTTATTTACTACCCACCAACCCTGTAATTTCCTGCTGTTTAAATTTGGACACTTTAGTACATTATATATTAATTGTTTAAAAGTTAATCTGTTGCCTTTCAGTCCTTAGGAAGTGAATGAAGGAATACTTTAAAACATTACCATATCACCCAGGATTATGCAGAAACTCATTTCACTACATCCTCATATCATGCCTCTGTTTACTCCCATCCCCAGGGCCTAAGCAAGGCCCTGTAAAGCGTCGTCTTCATCCCCCCATTCAATGCTGCTGGGAGACAGCACTGCTGCACTGCCTTTTTGGAAGTGGTATCTCCCACAAATGCTGATTTCTGAGAAGACTCCCTTTGACAGCTCTGACTGGTGCCCTTCAAGCAGTATGGGAGCCCGCTAACAGTGTGGAGGTCACTGGCACCAAGCTGTTCTGATGAGAGTAGAACACCTGGGAAAATTTTCTTCTGTCCATTTCAGACTGGTGGTGTTTTTCCATTGACAGAAGAAAAGTATGTAAAAAATACTTAAACCCTTCCCTACACTTAATAGATATGGTAGTAGACTCCTTTGGGCTCACTCATTGTTCTTGCTTCTCAGTAAGTGACAATGATTAAATATCATTCATTTTTCAGTGTTAACTATGTAAAATTAATAACTAATGACCAATTTTCATTTTCTCCAAGTCAAAAGAATATATTAATACTTTGCTAAGTATGATGAAATCAGTGCTTACATGTGTGCTTTAAGAATATGTGTGCTTTAGGAATATGTATGTTTTTTTTTAAAGATAACAGAAAAATTCAAATATAAACAGAACTATATAAAATTGCTTAAACCCCTATGTAGATATTATTCAGTTTAAATTAGCTTATTAATTCATAGATGGTTATTATTTACTCTATACCCTACTTTCCTCTCAGTATTTTGAAGTAAATCTTAGTTATATCATATTATCTAAAATTAATTTAAAATTATTGAAAGACGATCTTGAGTTGTATGAAGATATTTGAGCAGATGTCTTTTACAAAACAGCAGAATTCTTTATTGAAGCTGTAAAATAAGGAAAAGTGCATACGTTTATAGTTTAACAAACTGTAAAGATAATTCTTGTAAAAAATTTTATTCCACTAAAATTACTCATGATTTTCCTTTCCGAAGATAAACACTATTACCATCTTGATGTGTAGTCCTCTAGTCTTTTCTAAGCATAGATATATGCAAAAATCTAGATAAAGATTGCATATAAACATATGCATTCATAGCACTGCCACTCAAGTCAAGGTATGATATTCCTTACTAATTGCAGCCCCCTACCTCAGTCTATTATTCTGACTTGTGTGGTGTGAAATAATGCTTTTTAAACTGTTTCTCATCATACAATAAATCAGCCTTAAACATTTGGAAAATATGACAGTTCTTTTTATGGAAAACTCTTACATAATTAAAAATGATTTTAATGGAGAATTTAACAATAAAAATGCTTATGATAAAGTGTAGGAGGAAACAGGTTATATAAATGTATAATGATATCTCAGCTATATAAAAATTTAATAGAAAAATAAAAAAATCATCACTGTTAAAATGTATCTCACTACTGTTAGATCAAGCTGGTATTTGGGTTAAATTTTTATGAATAAAATTAATTAGAAGCAACTAGAATGATAGGAGGCAGGAAGGGCTAAGTAGTTTTGCAAAGTAGAGTAGCTATGTATGGATTCAAGTGCTATAAGAAAGCTGGTGTTGTCAGGTTCAGATTGAAAAGATAATGTTCGGTGAAATAGGTGGGAGAGTTTGTCATTTGTAAACATTATACATGGCTTTCTACTTAAGCTAATATAAAAGTAATTTTTAGCATTTATGTTCTTGGTGATATTTTAACCTCATTAACTCTAATTGAAATGATAGTATAGATTTGTTAGTTTTCCTTATCACATTGTGATGTGTTGAGTAATGTTTGTTTCCTAATAGATAAGGCCTTTTATGAAAGCGCACCTAAATCGAGATAAAGACAAAGAACTTTTAAAATTAACTCAGTACCTCAAGGAAATAGCAAAATTAGATGACTTTTTGGATCTAAATCACAAATATTGGGAAAGGTAAGTTTTAATTGCTTATTTATTTTCTTTTTACGTCAATGAAGAAAAAATTATCATTTTTCATCAGTGACCCCAGTATTTATATAGCTGTCTTAATTTTTATTTAAAATAGGTGACTTCTAAAAACATTTTCTAATCCAGTAATCTACCCCCGAAAGTATTTTCCCCTTTCATCTTAACCTCCAACTTGTTCATAAACATACCTCTTGTAAGCTCTTTAATACTTCTAGAAGAGAGAACTTGAGAGACTAGCATATGTGGGTGATGCTGCCTGTAAATTATTTTGTGATGTTAGGTAGGCTACTCCTTTATGAATCACGTAATCCCTCTTCTCATACTGTAACATAATATAAGGATAAAATAAAACACATGTAAAAATTTCATCTATTTATTTATTAAAAATTACAAGTAACGTGTGTGTAGCAGAAAAATTAGAAAACTTTATCCCACTAAAAAAAACAATTACTCATAATTTTCCTTTTTAAAGATAACCACTGTTACCATCTTGGTATATAGTCTTTCAGTCTTTTACCTAAACTCAAATGTATGCACAAATCTATATAGGCATTGCATATAAACATGAAGGTTTTGAGACAGAGAAAAGCCCCCGGAGAAGTGGAAGGTGTTACTCTGTATTACAAGTATTTTGGGGGCAATTAGATCTTTAGGGATCTGGTTCTAGTAATACAGCACCAAAAGAAACTATGTATGTAATAATAACACTTTGGCTTTTCAGATTCCACTTTTGACTTTTCAGATCACTTTGACACAAGTCTTCTAAGAGTCTATAATCCTAATAGGAAGACAAAGCAGATATTTTTACCCCCATCTTTGCATTGCAGATGATGTAACTGAGTCATGAAGATAGTAAATGCTTAGTGCAGTGCCACAGAGTGAGCAAATTGTACCAGCAAAACATGTTCAAGTTTGCTGATTTTAGGAACTCTTTCCCCATCCCCACACCACCAATTATAGTAATTTGTAAATGTGAGAAATAGAGATCACGTTTTTAATTTAGTGGTAGATTTCTATTAAACAATATGAAAAACATTTGTTTGCTTAGTAAGTTAATGTCTTGTATCTTTTACACTCTTGATCAAAGACCTTTAGCATCTTTTGCCCATTGTCTTGCTGTAAGAAAAATAAGATCTTTATGGAGTTGGAGCTGTATTTGGAAGTTACAATACTAGTTAATATAGTGACCTTCACATTGGAAGTAAGGCAGTATGGAGTGATAGTCAATGAGTACGACCTCTGGAACCTTGTTTTGAATCTAGGCTCTTCCACTTTCTAGCTGTGTGAATTTGGGCAAATTGCTTAACTTCTTTGTGCCTGTAAAGTAGGAATAATTCTAATAGAAACTCCTTAGAGCTGTTGTGAAGACTAAATAAATTAATACCTGTACTTAGAACTGTGCATGCACATAATCAGTAGATGTAAGTGATTATTAAGAATACTCATCTTGAAATGTTTCATTATTAGAATAAACTCCTTTGGGAGGAAAGTTAGGTTATCTTCATGAATTTAGCATGATACAGCTTTGATATCTTTATTTTATTTCTTGCAGATATCTCTCAAAGAAGCAAGGACAGTAGTTACAAGTTATACTGGCAGTTACTGAAGATACTTAAGATCCAAGAACTTCTTGCTTTTATGCTAGAAATCATTATGATAGTGCTGGACACTGAAGCAAATACCATAATGCTTATACTTGGTCTTCCAGTTTTTTGTAAATTTAATTTTATATTTTTTGAAGATGATAGCAATATGCTAAAAAAAAAAATGCTTGTCCCCTCTATGAATATTCTGTTACTCTTGAAAAATATTTTCTCCAGTGTTGGTTGCTGACCCCTCCCCCCCCCCCCCCCAACACACACACACACACACACACACACACACACACAGAGTGGAGAAAAATGTATGCTCAACAATGTCATTTTGTGACTTTGGAAACAAGTTATGTTTTGTGTTTTTGTCTCATTGTGTTATTGTCTGACTAAATCTAAGACCAAACCCATGTTGAAACTAGTGCTTTCCCCTTTAAAACCAAAAAAAAAAAGTTTTTGATTAAAGAACCTAGTTTGTTATGCTTAAAATTATCAAGAATTTTTTATTCCTTTGTCATAGACACAATTTCTCTTCTGTATGCCACTAGTTACATTTCTAAATTCTGAGCGGTCTCAGTTAGGCCTGTATGTGTGTACACGTCCAAGTAAAGCTGGAAAACGTCAGTCTTGATACAGCTGTGTCTTAGTATGAGAAACAGAAGACTGAAGAATAAAAACTAAGGAACAAAAATGAATCTCTTTTTGGTGGCTAAGTATAATCTGCCTAAAACCATTGTCATAAAAGCAGTTAAAGGCAATAAATTTTTAAAAGGGACATATCACTGATTCATTCCTAAAAAGCATGAACAAAAAGTTTTTGTTCTGTTCCAGCTATATCTTGTCTAAGTGCTAACACTGTTTCAGTGAAAATATCTAGCCATAAGATTAAAAAAATATATTATTTGCAATGCTTAAGCCTGCAGATATGTAATGTGACCACTGTTTTGTGTTGACAATATTGCTTTATACAGTTCTTGTATTTGAAAGGAATTGATCCTTTTAAAGAAACCATGGTGTATATTGTTCTTACAGGACTAATTTCAGTGGTGTAAATAATAAATATCTTTTCTTAAAACATTGATTATCTGTTCTATATTACCACAGATATTTTACCTCTTTGTTGAATGACAAAATGAACATTATGTTCGGGCAAGGATCTCTTGCAAAAACTTAAATGTGTATGGTGATGTTAAAGGTGTGTATATCACTATTTATACATTCAGGAGTAGTTTTAGCAGCTAATCAGATACATAAAATTACTGAATTCTAATAAGTACCTTTTTTCAGAAATGTATGCTGTTTTCTTTGTGACAGGTTATTATGAGGATATACAGTGCAGAAGAGTTTGAGGACTCAAAGTGATTCAATTAAAATGTATTTCTTAATTATGAAGTAAAATTTAAATATTTAAAGATAGAATAGAAATTTTAGAGTGTTCATTTCATTGGTGCATTTTTCCCACTGTAAAAGACAACTTATTCCAAAGTACGCATGGAAAGGACTTAATCTTCTCAAGAAAATGGAACACTTGATTAACATAGGTCAAGAAAGGGCAGACATTTTCTTCTTTTTTTTTTTTTTTTTTTTTTGACATTTTCTAAAGCAGTGTAAACTAAAATACAAAAAGTTAGCAAGTCACAGGAAGCAAAGTAGAATTTTACAAAAACATTTTCTGCCATTAGGTGGTGCCCAAACCAAAGCTTCTTAGCTGCTGTGCTTAATTAAGCCACTCTGGAGAACATTGTCATTGAGCTTGTTGAGGTAACACACTATATGTGATTAATACCATCATAGAGTGCAGGAGTTTTCATTTGTCTTCTGCATCTCATGGCTTATTGAACAGCTCCATCTCTGTATATCTGTGTGTGGCACACACAGCTGAGTCAATAGATCACTTAATTCAGATGTGTATATATATATATATTTTTAATTTTTTTTATTATACTTTAAGTTCTAGGGTACATGTGCACAACGTGCAGGTTTGTTACATATGTATACCTGTGCCATGTTGGTGTGCTGCACCCATCAACTCATCATTTACATCAGGTATAACTCCCAATGCCATCCTTCCCCCCTCCTCCCTCCCCAATTCAGATGTGTATTTTGGTGAAACCACAAGTTATTTTTACCAGATATATGTGTTAAGCATTAAAACACTATTATACGAAGTATATTTAGCCTAAAAACTACTGAACATCGGTAAATCTTTGATTCAGAGGGAAGTTTCTAGTTTCCTCTCAGGTCTTTGTTATGGCAATCAGTTATTGGACTAATGATACCTATAGCAGCTCTTCAGTGTAAAAGGTAAGGAATGGAAAAACAGGTTGTTACAGTAAGCAACTGAAACTTATTCTTTATTCATGGAAAGTAAAATAGTTGCTTGAGAGGAAGAGGAACTGTACAGGGATAGGGACTGGGAAAAAAGGATATGCAAAATAATGCAGATTAGTTGCATTTTAAGTTATTGCTTGGTTTTTAGGTATTAATAACAATTGGGTAGTCAGAATAGTAATAAAACATGAATAATAAACTGTTGAGTTTTCTCATCCCAAGTACTCAACAGAGCTCTCTCATGGGACAAACCATTATGGTCTCCCATGAAATATTTTACATCAAAATTCAATCTTCTCATGAACTAGAATAGTCCAAGAAATGTCTGTGAAGATTAAATGCATAGATATTTATGTAAAGATTAAGTTTTGCTATGTGAGTCTTGGTGAGACATCTGAGTATTTTAAATTTTTAATTGACAATTGTTTATGGGGTACAATATGGTGTTTTGATACATACATCCAATGTGGAATGATTGAATCAGGCTAATTAGCACATTCATCACCTCAAATACTTCTTGGTAGTGAAAACATTTAAAATTCCCTTTTTAGCTGTTTTGAAGTATACATTATTATTAACTGTAGTCATTATGCTGTGCCGTAGATCACCAGAATGTATTCCTCTTATTTAACTGAAACTTTGTACCCTTTGACCAACATCTCATCTTTCCCCATCCACCACCACTGCCCTCCCCAGCCACTGGTAACCACTTTTACTCTCTGTTTCTGTGAGTTTGACTTTTTTAGATTCTACATATAAGTGAGATCGTATTGTGTCTCTCTGTACCTGGCTTATTTCATTTAGCATAATGTCCTTTAGCTTCATCCATGTCACAAATGACAGAATTTCTTATTTTTTTTTAAGGCTGAATAGTATCCATATATATATATACACATATATATGTATAAATGTACATCATATTTTTAAAAATCCATCCGTTGATAAGTACTTTGTTTTTTTTCTATATCTTGGCTATTGTAGATAATGCTGCAGTGATCATGCGATTGCAGACATTTCTTCAGAGTGCTTAGTGCTTAAATCTTAAGAGAATCTTTTCATAATTAGTTTCATAGATTTAGCAAAGACTTCTGCGAAATTAGTGCCTTATAAGAACTGAAACAAATCAGTATGAAGCATCCTGTAGGGCTAAAAATGGTGTCAGTTATCTATCTAGTAATGTCAATGAGCTTCCATGTAAAGTGTAAAATCTTACACGCCTCCCACATTAATAATTTTGTAAAAACACTTTGGAAGTAAGCAAGCACTTAAATGCAAGCATAAGGATATTACCTGACATGAACTGTTACTCATTAAAATGCTGGTTTGCTTCTGAAAAGCTTTAAAACCTGAACTTACAGCTTTATTTTATTTTTTTTGAGACAGAGTCTCACTCTGTCACCCAGGCTGGAGTGCAGTGGTGCGATCTCAGCTCACTGCAAGCTCTGCCTTCTGGGTTCACGTCATTCTCCTGCCTCAGCCTCCCAAGTAGCTGGGACTACAGGCACTCGCCACCACACCCAGCTAAGTGTTTTGTATTTTTAATAGAGACGGGGTTTCACCGTGTTAGCCAGGATGGTCTCGATCTCCTGACCTTGTGATCCACCCGCCTGGGCCTCCCAAAGTGCTGGGATTACAGGCGTGAGCCACCACGCCCGGCCTTGAACTTACAGCTTTCAAGAACATTTGTAAACAGTAGAAACAAAACCTTAAAAATATCAAAAAGATTGCTAAGCTTTAATGATTTTTCCATAAACCAATATGGCTGTGAAGAACACAAGTTAAATAGCGTATGTGTATAATTTGTTACACTAAAGGCCAAACTGATGACTTTTCAGGAATCTATACATTATCAAAATGAGGTGAATCAATTATTTGATTGAATACAAATCCCTCTTACTTTTATTCCCAGTTCTTAATTCTCTGAATTGCTATCTCTGATTGCTATCACTATCACTTCTTGTTGGATAATCTGTGAGGACAACTGCTGTAGCTTCCTAAATAAGGCTTTTGAAAGAGCCAGTGGTTTGTCAGAAAAACACGTGACTAGAATCCCTCTTTATTGGCAACAGTACCTTGGGCAAGTCACTTCAATTCTTTGAACTTTGCTTCCTTCTCCTTAAAAAAAGTTCTACACCTGTCTGCCTTTCCCATAGGCTGTGGCGAAGTCAATTGAGACAGTTCCTGTGGAAGGACTTCGAAGCAGCAAAGGCGTATGAGAATGTCAGATGTTAAAAGTAGTTCAGAGCACGTGGCTATCATTGAGCCCTATCATTCCTGAAATACAGTTACCAAAAGTGAAGTTTTAAAAGGAAGACTTTTCTTGATAATTTTACAAATATTATCTTGGTTCTCCTAAGATTTCTAAATAATCAACGAAAGGAGAATAAGGAAACCTCTTATGACCTAGATCTTTTGGTAAGTATCCAGCTGCTTTTATGTCTGCAAATGCCATTTAGTATTGGTCTGGACCGGAAGTCCAGCTGTCCCTCTCCCTCCACCCCCACCCTTAAAGTGACTATGACTGAACCTTAACAGCATTATAATACATCTTGTATAGTGAAATATTTACATGATTTTAGTCTTCTAACTTTGGAAATCAATTGTTCCCAGATAGAAGCTTGCTTATTTTGCTGTGCCATGTAAAAATATAAAGTCATTCAAAAGCAATGAGTTTAAAAATTTTTTTTCTTATAAAGATACGCTCAGGTGTAAACATTCATGGGTGGGTTTGTTTGTTTTCTGACAAGTTTGGTAGAATAAACCATGCAGGAACCGGGCAGTCAACATTTAATGTATATTTATCAGTTCCTACTATGTCTGAGGCAGTTTTTCAAGGGTTAAAAACACTATTTTTCTACCCTCACAGAGCTTATATTTGAGTAAGGGAAACAATGAAGAAACAAGATAATTTCAAATAGAAGCCCTATAAAAATATAGTAATATGAGAGAAAATGATGGTGATTCACAATTACATGACCTAAGGCGGGAAGATGGAATTTGAGCTGAGATCTGAATGAGAGCCACCATTTGGAATGTACAGAGAGAGGATGTGGAAATCTTAAGGTGCAAATAAAAGGAAGAAAAGAAAAAAAGTATGAAGAATATTGTGGACAGAATATTGCAGAAGGCAGGATCAAGCTAGGCAGATTCAGTGAAGAGTGGGAGGTAAGCCGTGGCCTGGTGCAAGGTGAGGTTGGAGAGGCAGGCAGAGCCTGTGGGAAAGAGAGGATGTTGTACATCACAATAAGCAGTCTGGCGAATTCTACGTGAAATGTCAGGAACCAGTGAAGGGTGTTAAGCATAGAATGATAATCTAATTTTTGTTAACAGCCTTATTAAGATAGAATTTACATACCACAAAATTTACCCATTTGCAGTATGTAGTTCAATGGTTTTTAGTATATGTAGAGAGTTGTACAACCATCGCTGTAAGCTAATTTTAGAACCTGATTTGTTTTTAAAAAGATCATTCTGGTTCTCGTGTGAGAATGGGTTATTGAAGGGCAAAAGTAGAAAGGACAAGACCCATTAGGAGGTGAGAGATTTTCAATGTGACCAGGAGAAAGTATGCATTTCTTCACTCCCTAGTAGCATCATCTTCCAGCTACCTATTGAGCCCCTGTGCTGTACCAGGCCACGTGTGAGGTGCCACATCTTCCATGGTAAAGAAGACAGATGTGACTCCTGCCCTATAGCACGCAGCTGCAAGACTGTGTGTACCACAAACATAGCCCTTCCAACTTTACCA